TGAATGGAGAGGCAGACAACTTATTGGTTGCAAAAAACTTTACTCACGCCGCTTGCAATCACGACGCAGGTGGTCCGGTCGTCTGAACAACCACGCGAGTTGTTCCAGCTGGCGGGGCCCAAGCCAGTTAATCCGTCCGCAATTCGAAGCCGGTGGGGAAAGGGGTACGTCGGGGGTGGGCTCGGTGACGGGAACCAGCTGGCGGGGCCCAAGCCCGTTAATCCGTCCGCAATTCGAAGCCGGCAGGGAAAGGGGTACGTCGGGGTTGCGCTCGGTGACGGGAAGAAAGATCGATAGGTGATCAGTCTATCGATCGGCAGCCGCAAGTCAGATAACTTCAGAGGCACTCTGCAGCGTGCTCAAAGCTCTTCGACTTGGGCGGAAGTCGCACAGAATTTTAAACGGCCAGCGAGCCAATTACTAGCCGCCACGTATGAATAATTTAGCACTGGCCAATAGAGGGGCACAAATTTACATTCGAATGGCGGGAACTCTTTGCACCGTGCATTTCTGTGCTGCAAAGAAGAAATGCATCCTGCAAAGGAAACTGCAAATGGGCGGGAACTCTCTCCTGCACGCAGGCTCTCAATTGCAGCAGAACACTCTGCCGTGCAAAGGAGCTCTCATGTGGCCAGGAAATTCCATAGTGCCGAGGCACAAAAATCACTGGGTTGTGACAAAACTTTGATTGCAAAATAGGCATTACTGTAATTTGTCATGTAAGTTTAGTTTGTTAAGTTAGTTAAGTTTAGTTTGATCAAAAGTTGAGACTTCCAGCACTATAGAACTGTTCTTCATGCAACAGTAGCAAGACTGCCACCTAAATTACTGAGGAAACTATTGCTAGTGACAGTTGGCTTGATCCTGGAATTTTTGGTTGGGTAAAATTTTCACTGAATTCACCTTACAAATCAGTAGAAGTTTTAACATGGCAAAATGTGCAACATATGAAACAATGAAAAAAAAAAAAAACCACAAGGCAAGATAAAGGAAAGCACACAACATTTGCCATTTACTTTTAGATATCTTTTTGAATGTCTGGTGGCGATACTAAAAGGAAAACTGAATTGTGTTAACTGTACAAAACTGGACCCTGATGCACCTGATCCTAATGCCATGCATGTATGCAAACAGCATCACAGAATTCAAGGACTATTCACATCCACAAAGCTGCACATTTGGAAAAAAAAAAAAAAAAAATCAGGATTTATATATGAATATAATTTGTTATACTCAAAAACCCTCAATTACTTTATATTCCAAAGTGATAACACTTCAACTCAACCATATCCTATTAATTGAAATTTCTCCTGTAGTGACAATAACTCACTGTTAAACAGTGCTTCTAATCATTTCTCTCAAAGTGCTTAACAAAGGAGGTATTGTCCAATTGTGCAGATGAGGAAACTGAGGCACAGAACAGCAGTGCAACTTCCCCAAGGTTATACAATATGCCTGGGACTGAGCTGGTAATAACCAGGTCTTTTGAATCACAGCCTAATGAACAGGACTTGTACAGACTTACCTTGATTAATCATGCAGCATGCCGTGATACGAATATTGCTGAGTATGAACAGTTACACACCAGCTTTCCTTCTGACCATCTACAACACAACCCCTCACTACTGCCTCCTCCCCCCCGGAAAGTTATAGGGCCAAGTTTAGTCCCAAGTATATGCATAAGACTTAGTAATTTTCTTGAGAGCTGTGCACATATAAAAAAAAAAAAAGGGTAGAATTTAGCTCAAAGAAGACATGCCCCCCCCAATTTTACTCTATCAAATGTACTGGCCAATGAAAACTCAGATTAACAGAGCAAACATGAATATTCAAACCTTCATTAGAGTAGCACTTTTTTCCCTGATGTCTTCGCTTTCTTCCATGCCTGTAACTTCTTTGTTAATTACTTGTACACTGTATGAAAAGAAGAACACAACAAAGCTATGCTTGCAGTTGTGCGACAGTTATCCAGAAGTAAGAATTCATTAGAATAGTCCAAAAGACCCAGCCATTTCTTGTTACCTGGTGTTCAAAAAGTTCAAGGAACGAGAGCTTACTGGGAATCAACCATATGAAGCTCAACAGTCAGTTATAAGTTTACTTAAGTTAACTAACATTAATAATGATATACTTTGAATGTGTTACCACCAACCTCTGACCAGATGAACTGTTGCTCACTTGGGCCACTTCAGCCTTTTCTTTGATTTTTGGTAAGGTTTTCATCTTGGAATTTCCTTTCAGATCTAAGGAAAGGTGAATATTTAATTTTAAACACCACCACAATAACAATATTAAAGCAAAGTAGGCAAAATCATGGGAGAGTGACAGACAAGATAAAGAATGTCCTAATAGACATACAGCCTGCAGTCTTTATGATGTTTACAATCCTGGTGTGAAATGCTGGACAAGGAGCTTAGTTAGGATTTCTTCCCAAAGAATTTACTTACATACTAACTTAGTCAAAAGACCAAAGTTAGCTTAACAAAGGCATACAGGGTATGGCTAATCTCATGCTTGCCAGACCAGAAAACAAATTATATCCTTTGCTATTGATTTTTGCTGTGCGGGCTGCAAAAGTTTGACTCCAGCTACATTTTACACTGGGTTTACCGGAAGCGCTTTAAGTCATTTCACACAGACTCAAGAGAGGTAGCTATCCTAAAGACCACAACTAAGCAAGCACTTAAGAAGAGACGGTCATTTGTTAGTCCATTCCAAACTTGGCAGCACTGCTTGCATGACTTAAGTCAGCTTTGTCAAATTAGTGTTAGATGGAGAAAGTATGGGGGAAAGAAAACCTGGAAAATTAGACAGAAGGTAAACGGGCTTGAAACATTACTATAAACATATTTTAAACTATTTTAAGAGGACCTTAAGGGTCACTACCATGCATTTTGCTTTCCACAATTCCCAAGCAATGCTTCCTCTATCACACCATTACACAGTCTGCCCATAAAGCCCCTAGATAAGGTTCTCTGGGATCCAGTGTCTGGACAAGATAAGAACCAGAAACCATCATCTACTAACCCCTTTCCCTCTGCCTTTTTTCATAAATGTATGCAGCTTATAAACACATTATTTCCCTGTGGCTCCTCTCCAGAGCTGATACCAGGACCGACTAGCTTACATAAAAGGATTCAAGTGACGGACACAACTTCTGCAACTAAGAGTGGGAACCAGTGAAGCAGAGCCAAGACAAGAACCAATCACACAATCTTTTAATGGGCTGCTTTTAAATGAAGGCGTCTCCTTCTCAAATGGGTGAGAAGGTAATACCTTGTGTGAACTGGATGTGAAAATGATAAAACAACACTTGCATTCACTGCTTTTCATCAGCATTTTCAAGAAAGCAAAGTTCATCACACACACTCCACAGCTGGGGAAACAGGCACACATGGACCTGGCTAAGGCCACCCAGCAGGCACACAGCAGAGCCAAGACTAGGATGCAAATGTCCTGCGTCCTAGGAGGGTACCCCATCTGCTAAGTGACACAACCTCCCCCACCCATAAAAGCAACTCACAAGAGGAAGCCATTTCAAGTTCTAACTCTTGTTAGCTTCTTTTATTGTCATCGGCTGTGCTGAAGAATCCTACAAAGATTCTTTTCAGTCTTTGAAACCAAGTCCCATTTTCCAGATTTGCTTTCACTCAACCAGTAGGGAACATGCTGCTTCTAGGGCTCAACTGCTTCTAGGAAGGTCTGGAAGTGCAAGGATAAATATGATGAAGGTTTTGACCTTGTGGGCTTTGCCATGCATTTAGAGAGGGACACACTTTGATGGCACCAGGAAACGGACATCATCTCTCCAAAGGGAAAGAAATAAGCAAGTCTCCAATTACTGCATTAGGAAAAGTGTTGTCCAACACTGGAACAGCGAGGAAGCAAAACTCCCACCTTCTAGATCAGCCAGGCAAGAACCAGACCCCAGCAAGCTGGCACAGAGCCTCATGCAGCCACTACAAGTGCATAGAGGATGGGACTATCACGGTACCCAGCCCACCGAGCACCCAGTACTGGCATCCAACAGCCTTCAGGGAAGGATTGGCCCTCATCCAGGCTGTTGAGAAACTCAGCCCCTCCCAAAGATACAGATGAGGTAAGAGACAATAGTAAAACAGAGCAGCAGCTACTACTTGGGACGTGGTGCTCCCAGGCAGGAGGGGAGAAGAGGTGCTGGCGGGCATTGGCATTGCTGCTGCCTGCCCGGCGCAGGGCGGAGGCTGCCAGGCCTGGCACTGGGGAAGAGCAGCGTGCAGCCTTCTTCTGCCTCGTGCTTCGGGTGTAGGTGCGCAGCTTGGCCCACTCCATGGCGGCTCCACTGGCGCTGCTCCCACCTCAGCTGCAACAGAGCAGGAGAGAAGAGGGGTCAGGAAGGGCATGGAGTGCGGCATGGGGGCAGGAGGGGCATGGAGTGCAGAATGGTACAGGAGGGGAATGGGGGCAGGAGGGGCATGGAGTGCAGAATGGGGGCAGGAGGGGCATGGGGGCAGGAGGGTCATGGAGTGAAGAATGGTGCAGGAGGGGCATGGAGTGCAGAATGGGGCAGGAGGGGCATGGAGTGCAGAATGGTACAGGAGGGGAATGGGGGCAGGAGGGGCATGGAGTGCAGAATGG